TGGGGCCGCCAGCCACTTCTGCCTTCAGAGCTGCTAGTGTGGCAGGGGTCAGGGACACCCTCTGCCCCCAGCTGCTGTCCCTGACCTTTGCTGCTCTCTTTATCTTTGTACCTGCAGCAGAGTCGAGAGTCCTTCACGGTGGAGCAGTGCGTGAAGCTCTTGCAGAAGATTCAGGACCGTGTTCTCATAATTGTGTGAGTGAGGCACAAGCCAAACCAACCCTCGCTGCTTCCCTGCAGCCCTGGGTGGAGGGGATGAAGGTTAGAAAGGAGTCCTCTGCTACCCACTCCTTTGCAGCGGCCACCCAGACCTTCAAGCCAGTTGGCACAACAGTACAACCTCACATGTGAGAAGCATTTCCTAGTTCCCCACCACTGCCCTGGGCTGGGCAGGCTCCTGGAGCAGGCAGAGAGCAGCTGGCACGTCCTCCTCCCGGCCTGGCGCTGCATTTTCAGGCAGGGCCTCCCTGGTGCAAGGCTGACCGAGGAAATGCCGGACCTGCCCTGTCCTTCCCACGCTCATGCCTTCACGCTGCCGTCCCACAACTGTCCTTTGGCCCTACAGCAAGGGACCATCCTGGCAAACACAGACCCTCCACAGCACCACTCTTACTTGCTTTCCCCCTGGCCTGACTCTTCCCCCAGTCACAGCTACCCAGCCTGCCCCCTTCTCCAGACCCCGAAGCCTCTTGCCTGTGCAAACAGGTGCAACCATGGCAGCTGGTCCTGGAGCCGCCGGCCTGACCCAGCTCTTGCACGCTCTCCCCTGGTTGCCCGGGACAGGAGGAGCTATGGGGAGGTAGCTGGTGCCTTGCACGGAGCCTGTGTTCGGATGAGGCTCTGTAGGAGTAATGAGGAGTTAATGATGTCTGTAGGGTCTGAAGCTGTGATCAACCTACTGGGCACGATAGGGATCTGTAAGGAGTCGCAGTCATGAGGGTATGGCTGTGTCCTTGACTACCTCCAGAAGACTCATTACTGATAATGGAAACAGCCTGTACTGCAGCGTCGCAGTGTGAGATGTTTCAACTGTGACCCAGGACCATCGTAGCGGCATCAAACAGGCTCAGTGCTTGACACCAGTGGTGAACTTCTGTCGCTCTCTGATGGAGAAACTCTTCTGAATTCTAACGCTTGCTGGAATCGCGTTGCTCCAGGGGCGAGAGTCGCTCCCCCATACTGTGACCCACCGCAGTGAACTGACACTACTGCGGGGCCAAGTTGCAGCAGATAAACAGCAGACAGCACTGCCTTAGCTGCTCCACTCTTCCGCAAAAACATACCCCTCTCAGCCGGGAGAGGTTTCTACACAGTTTTCTTCATTAGTTGCCCAGAAAGGGGGTGGCTGCATAGACCAGGCTTCGAGAAAATCAATACCTGAGTATGGCTGGGAATAATGCTCGCTGGTGCCTCGCATTCCCTCCAGCAGTCAGAGTCTACCAGGCCTAATGCAGACCACAAACATTCCCCTTCAGTCAAGGACTCAGCAGTCAAATGAAGCAAAGTCAAACTGCGCTGTGAGCAGTGGGACACCTTGCTGGAACAGTTGGAGAGAGCAGAATGAATGTCTGTTCTTAGGGAGTCATTTTTATACTGGTAATTGAAAACTCTCTGCTCAGTTCAGCACATCAGTCTCCTAAATTACACAATACATTTTCAGAACAGCCTGCAAAGCTTGAAAGAAACCAGTGTAGAAGCTTACAGCCCTGTTTCTCCTGCCTAGTTCAAACTCATCCTGGCAAAATAGGTTCTGCACCACAGCAGTTGAAAGGTAACCTTTGGGACCCATCACAGAGAAGAAATGAGAGCTATGCAGCTCACAACCTCCCCTCCAGGTGATGCATTAGAGGGGAAATCAGAACATGAATTCTTATAAGTTTGGAAAATCCAGTGCATTGCTTTTTCTTAGGACTCCATGGAGGAGGAGCAGGAAAGCAGACCACAAGCACTGGGGAACTATGCGGAGGGAGAGAGGCCACAGTACCATTTACAGCTTCTTTCCTATAACTGTCAGAGGTAGGTGTCTGATTACAAAAGGTGAAAAGCAAGAGACAGCTTTTTTTGGGTAGAACAGATCTGTAAAATGCACTCAATAATCAACCGTTGCTGCTGCTGCTGTTACAGAGGGCAGGGTCTTCCTGTGAATTACTGGGATTTCTTCACGACAAGCCACCAGAAAGCAGTGTAATTTCTAGGCAGTGGCTGCTAGGCTTGTAGTTCTTCTGGCTATGGCATGGCTCTTGAGGAAGAGGACCCTGCGCAGGAGTGATGTGGACCCCTTGCACAAACCTCTGTGGTTGGTGGGACAACGGGCCATGGCCAGGAAAATCCATTGCCTCTTAACTGCAATCTGAAAAGGAGAGAGCATCAGGCATGCAGACCTGAAGCATGACACACAGCCCATCCTTGCGAGCCAGACCCACCTCTGGGGAGCAGTGGAATGAACCCATCAAAGGTGGTGGCATTGTCCAGCCAGCCACGCAAGCAAAGCACAGGGTGTGTGTGCACAGCACAGGGTGACCCCTCCAGGGTCTCCAGGCCTTGGCTGCCACATGTCCCCAGGGCACGGGGAATTTCACCTCTGAGAACTTGTACCCACAAGCAACATCCTCTGAGCGGTACATGCTGAGAGCTGGTCCCAGGGAGCTTGTTAACAGCCTAGAGCTCTGGACAGAGCTTGTAGATATGTGGTAGTTACCAAATTTATCTGGCACCCCTGACCTCTGCTTAATACCAGTTTTCAGGCACAAGCCTTGTTTGGGGTAACCCTGAGATCTTGCTGTAAATGCTTACCCTGGTAATATGTGCACCATCATTCA